CACTTATGAGAGGAAAGAATTAATATTATTTGACATTTAAGAGAAAATAAGATAAGATAGAACTTTATTGATCCCACAGGAAATGATTGTGCCAGAGTTTCAGTACAAAGGAACAAACACAACAGGTGCAGACAGAAACATTAAAAAGTTTATTGTAAAACAGGATTAATTTTATTGTCCTTTGTGTAGAAAAAGGGAGGAGTTGAAAAGTTTGAAGGACTTCCTGTGTTGTTCTGTGGAGCACCTCGGTGGTCTCGGTCTACGACTGAAGGTGCTGCAGTAAGAGTCCAGGGTGTCATGCAGGGGGGTGTGACGTGTTCAGGATCTGGAGCAGGTTCCTCAGCATCCTCTGCTCAGACACCTGTCAGAGACTGCAGCTCCACTCCCAGAACTCAACCAGCTCTCCTGATGAGTTGATCAAGTCTGTTGGCATCAGCTTTCTTCACCCTTCTGCCCCAGCACAACACAGCGTAAACCAGCAAAACCAGCAAATTTGATCAACTTCGTTTAAGAGGACGATGACGTCACTTCTGTTCTTAAATACTGAAAAAACGTTGGCCTTTCTCATCATAATTCACATGATTCAGTCATAAAGGAAGCTCAGAATTGAACGTTATGTTTTATCTTGTCTTTTGTTAATATATACCGGTAATCAAAATGTGTCCACTTAATAGTTACAGATCGGGAACATTTTTGATAGAGTTGAATTTCTAAAACAAACGAACAAAAAAAAGTCATCTGATTTTGATACAAGTGATGCAGTGCTGCATGCAGGGATGACACGTGCAGGTGTCCATTTAGAGAGAAAAGCACTGAGAACATCAGCTCGTCTCACATCAATGCACTTCGGTAACTTCCTGTTTTAAATGTGCTATACAAATAAATTTGACTTGACATCAGAAACCACCAAAGCATTTTTAACTTTAGCTGAAATCCTTGCCTTTGAATTGTTCAGCAGGGTGATACGTACAAGTCCCTTTAAGATTTTACATGTGAAGTGACCCCACACAAAAGCTTATGAAAATAACTTCTGTATTGTCTCAGCTGCAGTGCTGCCTCCTGCTCCAGCAGAGAAGACCCTTTCCTCTGGCTCGGATTTCTCCTCCAAAGCCGTTCTGTGTCTGATAGAGGCCGTCGGGCGCCGCTGGGGCCTCTACGAGACCCGGGAACGTTCACAGCTCTTCCAGAGCGTCCAGGAGGAAATGGCCTCCAAGGGCCACGTCCTTCCTGTTGAAAAGATCAGACGCAAATGGAACAATCTTATTGTCACATACAAGAGAGTCAAAGACCGCAGCCGGGAGACGGGACACGCCAAGACCTCCTGGGAGTTCTTTGATGTAAGTCAGGGAGACAAACCTGGGGTTCAGGCTGCTGTAGAGGACTCTACATAACATATACATATGTAGTATACATACATACACTATGTAGTATGTATATTTTA